CTATTTAGACATATAGAGAAAACAGCCGAGTTTTAGAACTAAACTACGAGACTGCCCATATAATTTGATTCTAGTCATTAAGGACTTGCATAAAGCCAGCCACACTTTTCGGAAGAGCTAATCACAGTAACACCAAAGTTTCCAAATGTTTTCTTCTATACTCGCCTCCACCCAAAGTAAAAAGAGCCCAGTGCCAGCCTCTATTGACCAGGATTTGAACTGCTCACTAATTCCAAACTAATTACCCTATCCACACCATAATCAAATACACAAAAAAAAACAAAAAAACACACACAAACAGCTACAATTCCTTCCTCACCTACTCTACACCCAGAATCTCTTGTTAATAAGTATGAGCAGAAATTCTTAAGTCAGTTCAAATCTTGTCTACAATGTATTACATAAAACATAGCATAAGAGGGATTTTCAGATAAGAGGTTGTGGTTGAATATGAAATTTCTGCTTCGGCCATCAAATGACAGAAATTCTTGTTACTAAGCCAGAATTCCACTATTCCAAAAGCAAAAAAGTCAAACTAAAAAGTGATCTCAACACAACAAGTTTGTTTACTCAATAACACCTTCCACATAAACTGTCAATTTTAGAACAGAAAAACCGAAAAGACTAACGTAACGGATTACATCTGAAAGCCTTTCTGGTCAAAGTGATTAGTTACTGAGGCAACTAATTTCTTTATTGAATACCCCGAGTGCTTTTTACAAATGAAATTGTCAATATAAAGTGAGAAAAAGAAATAAATGAATAGCATTACAATTTAAAAACGTCAAGGACACGTATGACAACCATGGAATGTGGCAGAGTTTAATAAATCTTTTTTTTGTGACAGGACAAAATGTTATCTCTAAGTTTGATTGAAAAAGGTAAATAAAAATAAAAATAAACACTGATAAGGTTGGCAAATTTGGAAAATAAAAGTACAGGTCACATGGTAACTTTCAAAATATGTGTAAACATCCTCAGTTATTTTATATTTATCAATTGTAACTATGGTTTCTTTCTTGATGAATTTCATTTTAATATCAAGAAACTTATTAGAAAATTGGAAAGGATCATTATAAAAATATACATAAATGTCTATATTGTGACGGTTACACACCTGGCCCAGGGTCGAATCTCTTGGTTACGGCGCCAACTGTGACGTCGCTCCTCCTGGTTCCAAGCGTGCCGCTCCAACCCCTTGGTTGGATGATCACCAGCCTCGCCTTTCCCAACTCGCTTCCAATACCTGGTTACTGAAACAAATGTACTGATCTCCGGTCTGTCTACCCACGCTGTGTTTAGATCTTAGACAGACGGGACCAGCAGGATTGGGGCCGATACAAGTTGAGTCCGACGGGGGTGGCAAAACACAAGTAAAAGAAAAAAAAAAAAAACTCACGAGACAAAAAATTACTGATAAAAAAGGGTGACAACCTTTTATATCTTAATGTCCGTTACATAAAAACAAAATTGTTCTCAATTCCCGACCCGCTCTGTGGACTATGGCACCAAGTTTCATCACACAACCTAAAGATTTCGAATTGCCTACTCTTTAGAATTGTGTATGTCGGAGTGTGGTTTGGTTCGACACTGGGGCTAATTTCTATCGATCATTCGCAGTTGATTCTTCTCTTCGACTTGAGTTGTATTTCTTCTTCTTCGTCGACTTAGATAGAACTTCTCTTGTCTTCGACTTGGGCTGGATCTTCTCTGCGGCTTTCGAGTAATCTTCTTCGTCTACTTGGGCTGGAAGTTCTCTTGTCTTCGACTTGGGTGGAAAGGATTTCTTGTTTCGACTTGGGTGGAAAGATTTCTTGCCGCAACTCAGCCGCTACTCTCTGTCGTCCGAGGTGATCTCTTCTCGCTGCCGTCCGGGGCTGAACTCTGCCGTAACTCTGCCACAACTCTCGGCGTCCTTCGAGCAATCTCCTTCGTCTGCTTGGGCTGGAAGTTCTCTTGTCTTCGACTTGGGTGGAAGGATTTCTTGTCTGAGGATTCTCTTGCCCGAAAAGGGGCGAGTGAATCGGGCCTGATGCCCGCGTTCAGGCTCTATTCCTGCCCGCGGTCCAGCTGCAACTCCACTCTAACTGATTTCTGTCGACTGGGGTCCTGCTTTTATTGACGCCGCAACAAACTGGGGTGGGTCTGTCGGCGTCAGGGTTTTCTCAATAATTCCAATAGCTGCCTTATTTCTGTCTTCTCATTATCGCTATTGTTTTCACCCCTACTTCCTCACAGTGCCTTTTGTGGGGAGGTGCACACCTATCTCTTAGTCTCTCGTATGTCAGGTGACCGTTTTTCGACCAATGGTTTCTGATCGGGCATTTCTTTCTCTTCTTTTCTGCAGATCACGTGACCGTTTCCGACCAATTGTTATTGATCGAGCATCCTTTCTCCTCCTTTCGGGCGTGGTTACATCGTTCTTGTTTTTAAAAAAAACAAAATCCAATTTTGCCTTTTCTGCACGTACGAAAAATGACAATCTTGGCTTTCTCTCACCTGGGCTCTGTCAAACAGCCCGCCGCTAATTAGATGTGACTTCAGGGAAGAATATTGGCGCTATCTGTGAACTGAGACAATCGTTTTTTTCACCTCTTGTTTTTGTCAGACCCGACAGTCAGAAAATCTTAATTATCTACATTGAAAATATCTTTCACTCGTCAATGTGGGGGTTCTAATTTTAACAGGTCAGAATCTGTATACAATTCCACCGTCACTCCCCTCAACCCAAAGACACTTTTTTTCTGATTAAGATTTCGTTTCTATTGTTTTAAAAAAGAAATTCCCCTTTCTCCAATTTGACAATGAGTCTTTCCACGCAAAAAGTCGGTCATGTGTCTCCGACCGATATTTTTCTTTATTATCAATGTTTATACATTCTTATCAAAATGACTTTCCCTTCCAAATAACAATCCCCATTGTCCTTTTCGAAAATCGGCCAAGATGTTGGCCTAATTACCTTTCTGATACGTGTTTTGTTAATGACCGCTTTTTGTATTTCTCGACCTCTCTTTTTGCTTTTTTCTTTTCTTTCTTTTTTCTTTCTAATTCTATTCTTCCAATTGTCTTTAAAAAATTCGGCCACACGCAGGCCAAGATATCTTTCTGACACTTATCTTCGCTTATGACTGGGTCATGCATCATCCAACTCTCCCTCTTTCCCTCTTCTTCCTCCTCCTCTCCCTCTCTTTTCTTTCCTCTTCTTCCCTTAGGATCGTCTAAGTACAATCTTAGTGAATTATTTTCAACTCAATTATTTTCCGTTTTAAAAAAAAAAATCAACAACCTGTTTAGTAAACCGAGTAAGAAAAAATTAAATCATATTTCTATGAATATTTCTAATAATGCAAGGTGCCACAATATTATTCAATGAAACACAAACACACACATATATATATATATATATAGTGTGTGTGAACAGACGTCAACACTTAGAGGCGACAGTGTTTCATGCTATATGCAATCGTCAGGCCTGACGATTGTATATAGCATGAAAGACTGTTGCCTCTAAGTGTTGACTTCTATGTTCACTTTTATATTTACACACACTATCTCTGATATTGAGCACTTTATCCCATAAATATAGTACATCTTAAGATTATATATATATATATATATATATATATATATATATATATGGCAATAAGAGAAAGTTCCTGTAATATTGAACAGTGTAAACAACTAATGTATATTGATAACCAACCTATCAAATCAGTTAACCAATAGGCTTTGTGCCATCTACTCATAGTCAACGTTCTGCAATGTGTTGAAATAGATTTGTATATGATCTATACATTGGATTCTTCCAATTTGAAAGCACAAGTTTCTAGGGTGTGTGATATTGAAACCAAAAGTGCAGAATAGACAAAAACGGAAAGCTACTTGTATATATTAAATTAAGCATTCAGTTCAGAATTTCCTGAATCTCATCTGGCACACATATTTCCCTCTCTCTATATATATATATATATATATATATATATATATATATATATATATAGAGAGAGAGAGGTGTGTATGCATGTTAGAAAAAAAAATGCTCAAAAGCTAAGGACCCAGTTTATGGAAACAGAAAAGATTCCTTTGAACCAAAGCTGCCTAGGATTTTTTTTTTTTTTTATCCAATAAGATAAATTCTTAAGCATTTTGTTCAAGTTTGTGACAATCTGAATTAAAAATTTTAATGATGACAACGGAATCTAGAAGAGTGATTGCAGTGACATTACAAGAGTCTCACCTGACTGCATTGATGGATTATGTGGTCTAAAATTTAGGTGTTGATCACTTTCATTCTTAATTGCAAACTTACTATTTTTTTTCTAAAACCACCCAGATTGAGTCATTTTACTTTATGATTTTTTTTTTTTTTTTTAAAGTAAACTAAATGGTGTCTGTTCCAATTTCACCAGAAGTCTGTTTATTCCTCATCTTAAATTTTTATTTTTTTTTATTTTTTTTTTATTTTAAACCCAAGCATGTGAAGCTGGATTTATAAGTTTTTTTTCTCTTGAGAATTCACAGCAAAAGGATTTAAAACTCTTGTAAACAAACTAATGAATAACTAGTATTTAATTTAGTATTTATTTTATTGTCAATTCTCAAGGAGAAAAGTATATGTTCGCAATCAAATTTTAGTGAATTTGTGATGAGAAATTTGTGTTCTCTTTTTCAAACATTTTTAGGAATTTATAAATAAAAAAGGTTTTTTAATAGTTTTTTTTTTTTTTTTAATATGATATATAAAAAAATGTTGCAATGTAGTTGGTTGACATTTTTATGAAGTTGTATATATAAAATTATTCTTGAAAATTAAAATGTTTAATACTTATGTTAATTTGATAAAAAATAAATAAATGTATAAATACAGTTTCATGAGGTTGGATTTTATTAAAATTCTAAAAAAACTTAAACCACTAAAAATGGTCCAGGGAATAAACAATCATGTGGCATCAAGAGAAAAAAAAAATCCTTTTGAAACAAGGCTTCTTTCTACATTAAAA